CATTCAGCAGTCCCCCCACCCAGTGTGCCATTCTCAAGGCACTGGACTTCTCTCCTCGGGTCTCCCATGTGTGGCTCTCACGTCCTTTTCCATTCACGCGCCACCCGCCTTCTAAACAGCCTTCCATGCGGGTGTCCTAGCAGTGGCAGCCTGGTCTCCTGTTACCTCTCCATCTCTCCTCCCATTCCTTTCCCCGTCTTTAAATGAGCTAGCCTGGACCGTGGGCGTGGGTTCAAATCCTGGCTCAGCTATTTATTGACTGTGTGAGCTTGGGCAAGCTCCTTAGCCCTTCTGAGTCTCAGCCTCCTCATATGGTAAAATAGAGGGAAAATGCTACCGGCCTCCTGGTGTTATTGCAAGGAGGAAATGAATTCACCCATGAGAACAGAGCCTGGCCCATGGGAAGTGCTCCATGGGTTGGGTATTGTTGTTATTGTTATTTATGCAGTTACAGTTTAATTTCTGGTGTTTTCCCCAAGCCCAAGAGGATAAAGTAGAGAGATCCCAACACCGTGACCGGATTCCCAAATCGCAGATTTCTGCCACCCGTGCCTGACCTTCCTGTCATGCCCCTCTCCCAAGGCCAGAGGGTGTTCCACGCTGGAAACTGTGGTCGGGGTGTGAATCATTTCATGACTCTTGTCTCAACTTTTCCAGCCACAGCTGGACCAGGAACACAGGATGGAACTGTCCCCGTTATGAGCAGAGAACCGGGGCTGGGGGCGAAGGAGCATCCCAAGCTGAGCCAGGACACAGTTCAGACCTTGAGGCTCTGTCTCCACCCCAGTCCTCTGAAATGCAGCCAGGGGAACGTCTTGAGGGCGGGGTTGGGGGCAGGAGGCCACTTCCCGTGACACAGGTCGGGGAGGCGGCACCAATGTAGGGGGCACTGGAGCACGGCTCAAGTGGCAACAGTGGGCGCTGGGCTGGTCACCTCCCTGGTCACGGCCTCCCAAGGCTCCGGGGGCAGAGCTGGCTCAGGCTATGGGAACAGCTCAGGGAAGGAGGGTCTTGGCTCCACTGTGTCCAGGGCACTGGTTGTGGGGGTGGAAAACTAGAAAAGGGAAAATGAGGAGAGAGGAGAAGGAAGGGACAGAGGACTTGCTGATTCATTCCACCGGCGTCTGTTGAATGCCTCTCAGACGCCAGCACTGTGTCCGCGAGTCCCGGAACCGAGGCTGCAGGGGAGGCAGGTGACCTCCCAAAGGTGGCTCTGCTCCCAGGAGGCGGACACCAAGGCTGAGCAGTGACCATCTGTGAGTACTGGCAGGGCTGGGGCAGGGGTTTCACCAGGCCAGGCGCCCTGGCAGGCTTCTGGGAGGGAGGGCATAGTTTGCATTTTAAAGAAGGGTATGATTTCAAAATTCTAAGGAAGCCAGAACAACTGTTTTCCTCTAGAATTGATGTCCAACACTGTCTTTGGAATACAAATGCCAAAGGCCATGAGGAGGTCACCATGGTCCTGTTTGTTTGATCAGCTTGCACATCTTATCAGCTGTCCTGTGAGCAGCACATGCCCAGGGGTGAGTCATGGGAGCCCGAGGGCCCACACAGGGCCCTGCCTGTAGGGGCCCCGGGCTGCGGGGAGAGGAGCTGTGGGAATGATGTGTGAGGCGGAAGAGGGACGATGGGGAAATTGAAAAAGAAGAGACAGTGAGCAGGGCAGGATTTGATCAGGCTCCGTGGGGGCCTGGTGGGGGTGTGCTGGCAAAGGTTGAACAACCAGCTCCGGGCTGGGGCACGGGGGAGGTAGGATGGCACAGGAGAGAGAGGAAAAGCCTGGATTTATAGCATTTGCCATGCTGTAAATATTCCCAATGTCAAGCTACCAACTTAACATCACTGAATGTAGAGTTGGCTGATTCCTTGACCTTGGTCTGATGCCTCCAAGATGCCACTCAACTGGCTCTCCCAGCCCGCAGGGGCCGGCTCCAGCACGCCCCTGGCTTTCAGTCTCTCTGCCACTAGCTGCTGAGCCAGAAGTCCCGCCATTGGAGCCTCATCCTTCCAATGCAAGTTTATTCCATTTAGAAAGGGGGAACCGGGGAAGGGGCCCCCGTTCCACTTGTGTTGTTAGGGCCACCCACGCCTGGGACCATCATGTACTTTTCTGAGGCTGCGGACAACTGGGCTTCACCTCTCCAAGCCTGTTTCCTCACCTGGAAAGTGGGGATCATAATAATACTGCTTCCCAGGACTGTGGTGATGATGAGATGAGAAAATTATATCTGAGTGTTCAGCTCATAGGAGCTTGGCAGTTTCTCGCTGTTGCTCAGGCTGGGCTCCAACTCCTGAGCTCAAGCAAGCCTCCCACCTCGGCCTCCCACACTGGGAGGATTACAGACGCGAGCCCCCCCGCATCTGCCCTGTGAAGTCACTTTTGATACGTAAGATAACGTACTCATGGCATTGGGGGTTAGGATGCAGATCTATTTGGGGGGCCAATGTTCTGCCCACCACAGGGAGGCTGCATCTCACAGGAGACTCAGCAAAGCCGTGGGGCATCCATGGTGGGGGCCACGGCAGCCAGACCAGCCAGAGGGCAGGACATAGTCGCACCTTTCTCAGTGACTCTGTGTGGTAACTGCCTGGTGGGGCAGAAAGAGACTGAGGAGAATTTGGGACCAGGGACGAGGCTCCGTGTGCCTGGAGTCTGAAGACCCGAGTTTCACATCCAGCTTGGCCAGTGACTTCCTACGTGACCCGGGAACAGTTGCTTTGCTCCTGGGTTCAATGGGGCTCACAGTCCCTTCCTGGCTGGCCTTACAGGTCTGCCACACTGGCTAGGAAGAGCCTGGTCAACTGTGCTTATGGGAGCGCTGGTGGCCATTGTCACCGTTGTTGGTTTTATCGATGAAAGCAATAGGAGGGGCTGGCTGTTCAGAGGCGAGGAGGGCCTGCAGGGATTCCCAGAGTGAAAGAACAGAGAATTCCCAGAGTGGGAAGGAGACAGAGTGTTCCAGGTGGAGAGAAAACGTCAAAGGTGGCCTGGACCCTCCCAGGGCCTGGTGATCCTGAGTTTTGGCTTCCATGTAAACCTTCCTCAGACTCGGTTGCTTGCCTGAGCAAAAGTCAGGGACTTTGAGTAATCTGGTCAAGATCAAGGTCAGCGCTGGCAGCTCAGAAGAGCTGGTGTTTACTCATTGCCAACTCACTGTGCAGAAGAGCAGTCCTCAGCCCTCTGCCCCTCTGCCAGCTGCTCCCAGACTCCCTACACCAGCCATGTGCTGGGGTGTCCCTACTGCTGCCCAGGAAGGGGAGAGTCCCAGGGCTGGGGACCCCAGTGCACAGGAGGGGCCTGGAGGACCAGCAAAGGAAGGCGCCTGGCAAAGGTCCTAAGGCCAGGCCCTGGATAGAGCTGCCCAGGCTCAGTTCCTGGGGTGGGGTCAGTGCGTGTGTGTGATTGTCCCAACATCTGGTCCCGATGCCACTAGAATAGGAGCCCAAGGGTGGGGCCGAGGCTCCTGGAGTGGGAGGACTCCAGGCCCCCAGGAGAGCTTCTGCCTCAGCTGCACTGGGCGTTTCCGTCAGCCGTGAGGTCACAGCACCATGGGGACTAAATGGGTCAGCTGAGGGCCTGAGTCACATCTCTCTCAAAATTCTACCTAGAAAACAAGGAAAAACTCTTTTACTAGAAAGGCCTGGAGAAAATGTTTGCAACATATATGAAAATAGCTAATATCCTTATCACATTAGAGCAAATGGGAACCACACCCATGCAAGCAATATCTAATTCACAGAAGAAATACAAACAGGCATTGAACATATTAAAAAGTTCAAGCTCACTTGAATCAAAAGAGCATCATGTCTGTACTGGACTGGGACTTGGAGATAAGTGGACTCGAGAGCAGAGACTGACAGGGTGCTGGTGAGGGGATGGGAAGGGCATCCGAAGTGTCTCCCATGTTTGGGTCTTAGGTGGTACGCTGCAGTTAGACCCAGGAACGAAGAAGGGACTAGTGGGGAAAGGATGGACCCAGTCCTGACCAAAGCAGTAATTTAAGCTAACATTTATTGAATGCCTACTGTGTTCTAGGCAATCTTTGTAGAACTCGAAGTGCTCTGTATGCATTATCACATTTAAGCATCATAAGAACCTCACGAAGTAGGCACTATTATCATTTTCATTTTATTTTTATTTACTTACTTTTGAGACAGAGTCTAACTTGGACTAGAATGCCATAGTGTCAGCCTAGCTCACAGCAACCTCAAACTCCTGGGTTAAAGCAATCCTTCTTCCTCAGGTTCCCGAGTGGCTGGGACTACAGTCATGTGCCACCATGCCCGGCTAATTTTTTTTTCTATTTTTAGTAGAGACGGGGTCTCACTCTTGGTCTGGCTGGTCTGGAATTCCTGACCTCAAATGATCCTCCCGCCTCGGCCTCCCAGAGTGCTAGGATTACAGGCATGAGCCACCGTGCCCGTCCTGTCATTCTCATTTTAAAGATGAGGAAACTGAGGAATGGAAAGGTTTGGTAGGTTCTGAGTCCCTCACACCTTTCTGCTACAAGCAGGAATACAGGATAAAATATAACCGTTTAAATATATTAAATATTTATCAATAAATATAACTATTTAAAACTTAATATTTATACATAAAATATTTTAAAATTATCAAAAGCAAGGAGAATTGCCAGGTGACAGAGTTAAAAAGAAAACTCAAAGCCAGGTTGGACACATGGACATTTATAGATAAAACAGGCCCTGCTGAATTTAAGCTGTCACTTAAAAAATGTAGTCATTTAAAAAATATCATTAGAGGCCACACAAAAGGAAGAGTCAGGAGATAAAATAAATAGGTGAATTGGTATCCCTAAATAATAAAGAAAACTCTGAAAGACGTTCTAAGTGTTTATAAATGATGAGAGGGAAAAACAAGGAAGCAAAACTGTAATGAGAGAATTGAACACTGTGAGAGGGACTGAAGGTTCAGTCACCTCTCCCAGGTGACACAGCCATTAAGCGGTGGAGAGGGGCTGCCTGGCTTGTGCTTGTCCTTGTCAGACCGCAGGCGCTGCGGTGCATTGGCCAGGCTACGGGACAGCACAGGGCAGCAGCAGGAGTGGGTGCGGAGACAGGCAGGGAACCCGAGTCTCACCGTGCTTCCACCCCACCGCAGAACATCCAGAGCGGAGCTTCCTCCCGGCATGGCCGCCACCGCCTCCCCGCTGCCATTCACCACCCAGGATGCCCGTTCCGAAAACAGCAGCTTCCTCTACGACTATGACTACCTGGAGGACGTGGCCTTCATGCTGTGCACGAAGGACGCGGTGCTGTCCTTCGGCAGAGTCTTCCTGCCGGTCTTCTACAGCCTGGTCTTCGTGCTGGGCCTGGGCGGGAACCTGCTTCTTCTCGTGGTCCTGCTGCGCTCCGTGCCTCGCAGGCGGACGGCCGAGCTCTACCTGCTGAACCTGGCCGTCTCCAACCTGCTGTTTGTGGTGACCCTGCCCTTCTGGGGCATCTCCGTGGCCTGGCACTGGGTGTTTGGCAGTTTCCTGTGCAAGGTGGTGAGCACGCTCTACACCATTAACTTTTACAGCGGCATCTTTTTCATCAGCTGCATGAGCCTGGACCAGTACCTGGAGATCGTCCACGCTCGGCCCCAGCACAGGCTGCGGCCCCGCGCCAGGAGCCTGCTCCCGGCCGCCATGGTGTGGGCCACGGCCCTGGCTGTCTCCGTCCCTGACGTGGTCTTGGTGCAGACTCACGAGAACCCCAAGGGCGTGTGGAACTGCCACGCAGACTTCGGCGGGCACGGGGCCGCTTGGAAGTTCTTCCTGCGCTTTCAGCAGAACCTCCTGGGCTTCGTGCTTCCCCTCCTGGCCATGGTCTTCTTCTACTCACGCATCGGCTGTGTCCTGGTCAGGCTGAGGCCGCCGGGCCAGGGCCGGGCTCTGAGAACGGCCGCAGCCCTGGTGGTGGCCTTCTTCGTGCTGTGGTTCCCGTACAACCTCACCCTGTTTCTGCACTCGCTGCTGGACCTGCACGTCTTCGGGGACTGTGAGGTCAGCCGGTGCCTGGACTACGCGCTGCAGGTGACGGAGAGCGTGGCCTTCCTGCACTGCTGCTTCACTCCCGCCCTCTACGCCTTCTCCAGCCGCCGCTTCCGCCAGCACCTGAAGGCCTTCCTGGCCACCGCGCTCGGACGCCACCTGGCCCCCGGCTTGGCCCAGGCTCCGCAGTCCACCTGCTCTGAGAGCAGCAGGCTCACTGCCTAAGAAGAGGGGACGGGTATGAATGCCCTTGGGGACAGGCAGGCTGAGCATTCCCCTAGCAAGGGGCCGTCAGGGATAATCCAGCCTGAGTGACCCCACTGTCGTCTGGTGGGAGCGGACTGGACCCTGCTCCGTGGGGTGTCCACTCAGAGCTCTCTCCAGGGGCCTCCTCAGTTCCCAGTCACCAGCCGTGGGCAGCAGGCACTCACTCGGGCCTTGTCCCTCCACTGTCGTCACTTGCTTGCAAGACACCACACTCTCCTGCCCGGGTTGCCACATTGGTTTCTTGGTGTATTGATAATTAATTTTATCAATCGCTGTGCACAGACCTTTTTTTTAATTTAAGCTCGATCCGCAGGACACACCACCACAGGCCACAGCAGTTTTGCTTACACTTATTAAGGGGGAAGTGAAAAAGAGAGAAAGTAAGAGAATAGTACAGCAGGGGAAGAACACAAAAGAGTGATCACACCACTAGGACCCCATTAGCAGCACAGGAGGCTTATCACCACGGGTCATCTCAACACGGGAAATCTAATTCTCCCCAGCAGTCTCTCAGGCAGTGGTGAAGGCAACACGCTGGGATATCAAGCAGGTAGGCAGCCACACTCCAAAAGTTGGATAGGAAGAAATGGCCGCCAAGAAGCGGCTCTAGGACTTTCTTATACTGCTTATATAGTGGTCTGAACAAAGGAAGGCGCCAAAAAGGCATATGCTCTGGTCACGTGAAGTCGAGGATCTGGCCAGGAGCCGGGGCCTGTAGTGACTGATCTCACATAACAGTTCTGGGCATGAGCCTAGGGTAAACATCCCTGGACGGCCCAGGATAAACAACCCTAGGCCATCCAGGAAGTCCAGGATAAACATCCCCAGGCACAGTTCAGAGCTGTCAATTCCTATTTCCTCAAGAAGTGGCCAACTTCTCCAGGAAATGGGGGCATACCTCAAGCCTTATAAATTTATATGACCCCAAGCAGGCCTTAATATTCTGTACCTCAATACATCTGGTCAACCTCTGCACTTCCTGTCTCTTCTCTCCTGTTATCTAAACTGCAGCCGGGGGCACAGGGACCCTGACACTCTCAGCCTCCACTGCCACCTCCCTCAGACCAGCAGCCTGTCCAAACACAAAATTATCACAGACTTAGTTTAGATCGGCTTTATTTGCCTATCGGCTTTATTTTCGATTCTAGACTCAGGCAATAGATTCAATCAATCAGGAATAGATTCATTTCATAAGACAGATGGAGTGTTCCAACCATCTGAGCAGAAGAGGGTGGTTTTATAGACAGAAAAGGGCTGATAAAGCAGAAATAGAACAAAAAGTGGATTGATCATTTCCAAGTCACTTTGAAAGGCCCAACAGAGTGGTTGACATTAGGTTTCTTCAGGTTCCTTTTTTGTAAAGATTAAAACAGAGGTTGCCTCTGAACTCTAGGATAAGGTAAAAAGGAAACACCATAGGGGACTTCATTAAACTGGCCTGTTTAGGAACTTGGCTGTTAACTTTCTCTCCCAGTTTCTGAAAGGTCAGATAACAACTTAGCTCCAATGTGATGACATGAAGCTGAAATAGGAGTGACCCCATTTGGTTTGTCTGTTCTACTGGGGTCCAGTGCAGACACTTAGTCCAAAACAGTGGACTCCCATGAGTTTTATTTAAGATGTCCCAGTCCCAGGCTCCCTCTGCACTTCTGACCTGGCTTCTGAGCTGTTTCTCAGACATTCCAGGCACACTCCCCTGGGGGCTTCCAGCTGTGCCTTCTTCCTCAACTGCCCTTCCCCCACTGTCTGCTCTGCTCACTTCCTCACCTCCTCACCTGCCCCACAGCCCAGAACACATGCAGTCTGCAGGAGGTGGGCAGTGAGCACTGTTTCAGGAGCCTTCAGGTCTCCCTGAGGCCTGCACCATCAAGTCCAGAACCTTCCTTGGACTTCAAGGCTGGCACTTTTGCAAGTGGAACCCCATGTAACCCTCAGCCCGCACAGTGCTCCTCTCTCTTTTCCCTTCCTGACACCAGGCACCCTTTGGTGTTTCCAGCACCTTCCTTGCTGTGCCTTTGCTCTTGCTGGCTCAGTCATGTAAGGAGGACCATTTCCAGCCAGGTATCCCCTCACCCCTGTCTACACATCCCACTTACTGTAGGGAACCACTCCTGGGTCACTCTGCCCTGTGCTTTGGGTAGAGGTTGGGTGGAGCCTCGGACCCAACCCGTTGCCACCATATGTTCCTCAGGGCACAGTGATTGGCCTGGGGGTGGGCACACCATCCAGGCAGAGCCAGTGAAATGCAATGCCATAGAACCTTCTAGAACAGAGGGGTGAAACTGAAGCTGAGAGGAGGTGAGGTCTGGAGCTGCTCCTGCATCACCCAAGCTTCAGAAGGTGAAGGGGGTGGCGCAGGCGGGGGAGCAGGTCCTGAGGGCGGCTCTGGAGCCTCAGAACCGAGTCTCGGCTGCGGCTCTTCCTGCCCTGGACTTGGCAGTTGTGTGAACCAATAAATTCCGTTTCCGTGGGGGGCACGTTGCTTTGTTACGAGGAACCTAAAGATTCCTGACGGATGTTCCCTGCCTGGGTGCTTTTCTCCTCATGTCTCGGATGGGCAGGGCGTCCTCCCCGCCCCCAACGCGTCCACAGAGAAACCTACCCAGGGACCTGCAGCCCACAGTGACATCATCGCCGTCTCTCCAGCTTCTAAGGGCTCCCTGCTCCTCCCCCCCCCCACGGGGCCACCTGGCTCAACCTGCCACGTCCCACCACGTCTGTCCCACATAGCTGAGCACAGCCCGCCACACAGGTGGGGAGAAGGGAGGGCAGAGGCCCGAGGCCCGAGTGAAGGTGAGCTCCACGAGGCAGGGCCTGCGGCAGGTGCGCAGCCTTGCTCTCCTGTGCGCCGCCAGTGCTCAGAGCCAGGGTCGCTCTGAGTGTGAGCAGCTGCTGGACGGAGCA